CTTGTCACACCATGAACTGTGCAAGGGCCAATTCTTTTGCTTCCGGTGGCTCAGGCACTGTGACCCGAGACACCTGAGGTGGCTTTTTTTTTTTTTTTCCTCTCTATTTGGAACAACGAAATCTTCTAGGTTCCATGTCTTTGTTGGTACTCTTTCTATGAGCCTTACACTTGATTTCTTAGGGTAGTTTTGAAATTTTTGATTGTCCTTTAGTTGTCTCCAAAGCTGGAGAAGGACATGTTTGGGCTAGTGGTCAATCTTAGCAAATTGGACCCCAGCCCGAATTAAATCATTAAACATTTGTTTTCAGGAGACTCTTACGGGTCCCAGTTCAGTAGCTTGAGTAGCCGGTATTTTGGTTTTAATTATCAGTAGGACCTCTGCTTCTTCCAACATCTGAACGTTGTGCCTAGTCCACAGGTGTTCTGTTTCTCCCAGGTCGGCCACTAACTGGGCAGCCTGCTGGACTACAGCTTCTGAGGCCACCAGAGGATTTAATACAGAGACTAGGGTACCATAGAGATGAGAGGGAGCTTGCTGTAAAATCAAGTCTCTCATCATTGCTGAAAATCTGACCATATCAGGGCCATCAAATGTGTCTTCATAGATAGCTTCCCTTACTCCCAGTTCACAGGTATAATTCTGAAGGTCCACCATGGAGGACCACATTCCTGTATGTAGCAGTATATCAGATTTATTCGGCAATACCATACGGCAGGCAGCCATTAACCATTCTACTATGGAATGGTTTTCATCAAGATATTGATAACCAGCATATAACTTCTGCCTGAGAGCAGGATGGACAGTCATGGTGGCCAACTTGGCTATCTCCAGGCCATTCACCAAAACACTTTCTGCCTCAGAATCCCAGTCTTAATAACCAAGCTGGCACACTTTCTCTAGGCTTCTGCCAAAATTGCTGTACTAAATCCATCAATTCTGTTGCTGTGTATGGCTGGGCAGTTACATAAAAATGAGCAGTCTATCTCTGCTAATTTTAATTGCTGATTTAATATCCCTTGTATTCAACACAGCTACAGCCTTTTTCCTTTAAAAAAATATGTGAAATATTCTTGCGTGGCCTTAGACAATGTTATATTTGATCTTCAGTATGTGTCCATTTAATTCCTGTTAAGTCTTCTGTCAGTCCATGCCACACTCACAACTTTCCATGCGCCTGTGGGATGTATTCTGTAGTGTGTTACTGCAATTTCCCATTTACGGCATCACATACAGAAAAAGGATCACAAAGGGTGTCAGAAATACTTCGCTAATATCCACAACCAATCATTCACAGTATAAATCATTCACAAACTGTACTCATGCAGAGCTTTGCTTTGCATCAATCAGTAAATAGATTAGCAAGTTCCTCTGGCCCAGCCAGCATGGGTTCACAAAAGGCAGGTCATGCTTGACCAACCTCATCTCCTTCTAATGACTGGGTGACCAGACTGGTAGATGAGGGAAGGGCTGTTGATGTAGTCTTCCTAGACTTCAACAAATCCTTTGACATGGTCTGTCACAGTCTTCTTGTGGGAAAACTGGCTGCCCATGGCCTGGACAGGTTACCCTTCTTTGGGTAAGGAACAGGCTAGAGGGCCATGCCCAATGAGTAGTGGTGAATGGAGTGAAGTCCAGCTGGTGACCCGTTACAAGTTGTGTCCCCCAGGGGTCAGTACTGGGGCCTGTCTTGTTTAATATTTTTATTGATGACCTAGATGAGGGGATTGAGTGTACAAACTGAGTAAGTTTGCAGATGACACCATGTTGGGAGGTAGTGTTAATCTGCCTGAGGGTAAGGAGGCCCTTTCAGAGGCATGATTTAGGCAGGCTGGATCGCTGGGATGAGGTGAATGGGATGAGGTTCAACAAGGCCAAGTGCCGGGTCCTGCACTCTGGCCTCAACAACCCCATGCAGTGCTGTAGGCTTGGGGATGAATGGCTGGATGACTGTGAAGAAGAGAAGAACCTGGGGGTGTTGGTTGATGCTCGGCTGAACATGAGCCAACAGTGTGCCCAGGTGGCCAACAGGGCCAACGGCATCCTGGCCTGCATTAGAAATGGTGTGGCCAGTAGGAACAGGGAGGTGAGCATCCCCTGTACTCAGCACTGGTGAGGCTGCACCTCGAGTATTGTGTTCAGTTTTGGGCTCCTCACTACAAAAAAGACATTGAAGCCCTGGAACGTGTCCAGCGAAGGGCAACAAAACTGGTGAGGGATCTGGAGCACAAGTCTTATGAGGAGCGGCTGAGGGAGCTGGGATTGTTCAGTCTGGAGAAGAGAAGGCTCAGGGGAAACCTCATTGCACTCTACAACTTCCTGAAGGGAGGTTGTGGTGAAGAGGGATTTGGCCTCTTCTCACAGGCAATGAGCAGGACACGGGGTAATGGCTACAAGTTGTATCAGAGGAGGTTTAGATTAGACATAAGGAAGAACTATTTCTTGCAGAGAGTGGTCAGACACTGGAATGGCTGCCCAGAGAGGTGGTGGAGTCGCCGACCCCAGCAATGTTCAAGAGGCATCTGGATGACGTGCTGCATGATATGGTTTAGTGCTTGTGGTGGCAATGGTGATGAGGAGACAGTTGAACTAGATGATCTTATAGGTCGTTTCCAACCTTGTGATTCTATGATTCTTTGATTCTGTGCTGCACTGACACAGCAAGAACCAGCACAGTATGGACTGCCAGCAATAGTCATGCAAATGCATCAGCCTAAAAGCATTCATGTATTGCCATCTCCTGGCAGAGCCATGTACAGCTGCCTGTGCAGAGGCCCTTCTCAGAAGCTCACTTTTTGGAACCAATATGTATTTCAGAACTCCAAAACAGATGCCTCCACTTCTAAGAGAGTCTTCATGTGTGTGTGTGTAATGCACCATTAAATCCTACATGGCTGATACCTGACATGGTGCAGAAATCCCTGGATAGCTGATGTAGTGCACTGACTCTCAACACCTCTAATTTCCCAGATCCAGCACAACATCATTGAAAAGCAGTGTTTTGGAAAGGGTTAGGTGCAAAAATAACAATGCATATTTTTAAAGATTTTGGGGAATTAGTTGGTTTATCTGTTCTGCCAGGTACCACCCTGTGCCAATAAGGAAGTCTTCAGTGTTGCACAACAATCACAGCAATTCAGCAAGTATACAAGCTTTGCACATCAGCAGCAAATTCAGAAATTTGAATCATTCTTGTTAAAACAATGTATTTTCTAAAACAATGCATTTAATCTCAGTTTTAAAAGTTATTTCACAATATTTCATATTCTTAATGTAATTACAGAATAGTGAAGCTAAGAATAATTAAGTAACCCTAGAAAGAGACATTTGCTGCAAAGAAAAATGAAGAACTATTCCTCCAGTTTTCTTTAGCTTTCTTGAATGTGGTAGAACTTAAATACACATATATATTGCAAGGAAATAGTGCTGTCACTCACTGTACAACTGGTTTTGATTTCTGCAACAGTTTTGCAACTGTTATCCCCATGAATGTTCCAATTGCACATGTAGAGCTTGACAGTTTCTCTGCAACAGAGATAATGCTAAAAAACCAGCTATATATAATCACAAGCAACAGCTACACGAGCAGTTCTTGTAGAAAAATGTTTGTTAAAAATAAATCAAAAAATGAAACCATCATCAATGTAAGTCATGTTTGAATCACATTTAAAACATGACCTTTACACTCAGTATCTTTCAGTAGAATGTACTTTCTGAAGTATCTTGCACTGGATTCCCAAATGTTAAACTACCAAAATCACTTAGCTTTTATTTTAAAATAAACCATAAAATTAGTATCAAGAAATACATTGCTTCACAGTAAATCCAACATTTTTATAGCTGTATTTTATTCATATAATTTCACTTCTCAGTGTAACTGCCCCAAAATATCACCGCATTGCTAAGAATGTCCTGTTCACATAACAATTGAAAACATATGTTCCAAACATCTGTATGCAATAGGTATATCTAACTCTAAATCTTTTCATATTTCTTTAAAATTCCTGTATCTAGTAGACTCCTGAAATATACACAGGTGCCTGTCAAATGGCTGCTTGTGGGGAACACAGAGAAGAAATTTTGATTTCTAGAATATTTAAAATGAGATTGAACAAAAATACATACAAGTAAAAATTGGGGACAGAAGTTGATTACATAATTTATATTATCGCTGCTATACCTACACAGTACTGGAAACTCTGCTTGGTGCATCACAAAACCTATGGTAAGACAAACACCTTTTTCTGAGATGTTCACAATGATTAATAATGCTAGAATTTAGGAGAGGACAAAAGTAAAGTGAATATCCATGAGCCTATTTCAAAATACTTGAGCTGGGAGTGAAATTGAGCTTCAGAAGTTATAAGCTGTGGTGAATAACCACATATGCTTTTGAAGAAAGGTTTGGAAAAAGATATGGTTCTGCTTAAAATACAACACAAGAAGCTTTGGTATATCCAAAGACAGTGTAAAAGATGTATCTAGAGAAGGCTGAAACAACATGAAGGAAAGTTGCTGCTCCTTCAATTTTCAAAGCATAATTGTCTTTTCAGGAACTGCAGTGATGGACTTCAGGTTAGAAGACTAATTGCTTTGGTCTTTTGTCCCAAGGTGAGACCAAGCCATTGAATTCCCTGGTTTTACCATTAATAAAGTAATTCCCATTTGGGGATACCACAAGAGAGGAGATGGTAACACCTAATGGAGTTGATTCCTTTTATTTTTCTACATTTTAGAAATTCACATCTCAAAGCTCCTGACTGCAAATGTTACTAACAAGAAGAATACAATTTGGTTATAAAGTAGTGGGGATAGAATCAAACACAATGTCAAAGTAACTGACACTATCACAGTAAATTTTTTTTACAGTGAAAAATGTTTATGCTATTCTTTCTCAAATAGGGAGAAGGCTGTAACAACACAATTTGAGAGCTAAGAATATTAACAACAGAAAATTAAATCCCCATCTGCACTCAAATATGTAAGAGGAAGAGGGTTGAAAGACTTTAAATAGGTTTTACATGACAGAAGAATGTAAAGACAATAAACCTGTAAATAAAATGGAACGTAATGGAAGTCTATGCATCTGCACTTATGTTGTGCTGCTCTACTTTGGAGCTTGACATTCTGCAAAAAAGCCAAAAAAAAAAAAAAAAAAAGGCAACCTCACAAACAGAGCTTAGCTCTCAACTGTATATGGTGAGGGTGACAGTACAAAAATAGGTCACTTAGTTTCAGAATCTGAACTGCTTCTCTCTGCTGAAGAAAGGCAAGCTGCTGCTCACGTGGCTAGTGGGCAATGTCGTAATAGTAGTTCCGTAATCGCAACTCCACGGAAACGAATCCTGGTCGGTCATCAACACTGTGGAAACATGACAAAGTATCACCTCAAAGGACTGAGAAAGCTGAAGAGGTTATGTGGGCCCTGCAATAGCTGGCACTTCACAGCAGTGACAACTCCTAGAGGCTGTTACAGTACTTAAGGGCTACCAAAACACTGCTACAAAATGAATACCAGGAGGTTAATACTACTGCATAGCATTCAGTCAGTAGATTTATTGTCATCAAAGTTATTTTGTGGTTGTGGAAGGTATTATAGGAAATGGTAAATCAGCCTCAATTAATTTGCTACTTCATTTACTTCAGTAACAATCTAGAGAAAAGAATACTTATAACGCATTAGCTTCCTTATAATGAGTTCTACAATCATACAGATAAGCTTTGTGCCATTAAGAATAGCCTCTATAAACACTATATAGCTGTACTGTCTTGATTTCCTCTATATCTCACCTGTTTTGATTTGGAAGAATATGACTAAGCTGATGAGAAGTTCTGACAATAATGTGTTACATATTGAGATAGATGCACTGCGTAAACAGAACTTTTTTTTTTTTTTTTTTATTTGTTGTTTTTTAGGGTTTTTTTCCTTTCAAATATTTGGGATATTCGAGTACAAATAAAAAGCAATACCTTTTATAGTACCTTTACTAAACTTAATGAAAGTGATTCTGTTTCACTCTGTAACTGCTACTACTTTACTGTAGAAAAAGGGCAGAAATTTAATGGTTCCATGTTCTTTCTAGAATACTAGATGTAATAAAATTAAGAAAAAAGCACGTTTTCTAGAAAGGAAATAACATAACTCTTGAAATAGAACCTAAATATCTTTAGTGAACATATTATTCACATATTCTCCAGATAGTGAATTGGAAGAGTAAGCCACATTACAGTGGACTTTCTTTGCTTTATGGAAACCTTTTTACAGCTAAAGATAACTTCAACAAAGGAGTTCTACTCCCAGTCTTCAGTTCAGGATTTCTCCTGACCTAGATGCAGCACCCCGCATTTGGCTTGTTGATCCTCATTAGGTTCACATGTGTTCTCTTTTCAAGCCAGGTCCTTGTCCAGGTCCCTCTGGATGGTATCCCTCCCTTCCACTGCAACAACCACACCACTCAGCTTGGTGTCAACTGCAAAGTTGCTGAGAGTACACTCAATCTTACAATCTAAGTCACTGATAAAGATATTTGCTGCGGAGACTAGCTTCTGAGCAGGTAAGTCTGTACTGGCAAGGGATCTGGAGTAAAAAGTCCAACCAAAAAGCTCTTTTTAAGGCTTTTTAAATGCATTTTTGAGGCTAGCATCAACACTGCACTTATGCTGGGAGCTGGCAGCTTGTGGGCAGGCTCCAGAGTCACCGGGGTGGAGCTGGTACATTAGCGGCATTAGTTTAAACACCCGCCCTCAAACTTCACACCTGATAATAAGCTTTAAATAGCTTTGGGGAGCTTGCTTCCACCCACAGAACACACCAGGTGAATAATAACCATTGTTTCTGCTCACTGAGAAAGGGAAGGTTCAGTAAGTGAGCATAGCACACACGTCCCATAGGGTGCTACATTTGTGCGTGTGGGAGGTGGGTCTAGTGGTGAGAATTGCAAGCTTTGGTCCCTCCTTGCTCAAGAGACTGGCTTTCCTTTTCAGTCTCTGAGACCACAGGCTGAAACATGGTCTCCACCAGACAGCGGACTTATTCTAAGAAGACCGTGGTGACCCAGACAGAGAGCTTGCTGAGAAATGTCACTGTTCAGGTCTCTGGCTGCAGGGAGTGCCTGAGTCTGCTTCTGCCCAGTGAGAATGGCAGGGACTCCACCTGAGTGAGGTGTACTACTACTGAGCAGGTGGACTACTTAGCCTAGTGGTGGAACTTAAAGATGAGGTGCAAAGACTTAGGGCCATCAGGGAGTGTGAGCGGGAGATTGACTGGTGACTAACTTGCTGGCTTACCAGAGGGAAGGATTCTGGGAAAATACTCCCAGAAAGGTGGTGGTCCTGTCACAATTGGACAGACCTGGCTGATGAGGAAGGTTGGAAGAGAGTCCCAGCTCGGTGTCACAGGAGACACCCGCCTGCCTAGCCCACTTCCCCAGCTTCCTTTAAGCAACAGGTTCCAGTTGCTGGAAGTTGAAGGGGAGGTGAATGAAGAGGGATGGAGGATCTGCCTAGGAGAGAGCCTAGGGCGAGGTGGTCACCCCCACGCCTTGAGACTGCCTCTGACAGTAAAGAAAGAAGGGTGGTTGTGGTGTGTGACTCCCTTCTCAGAGGAATAGAGGGCCCCATATGCAGACCTGACCTGTCAGGGCCATCAGGAAGTGTGCTGCCTTCCTGGGGCTCAGGTCAGGGACATAACCAGGAAACTCCCTCAGCTGGTTAGGTCATCTGATTATTTTCCATTACTTGTAGTTCAAGTGGGCAGAGATGAAATTGCTCAGACAAGCCTACGCATGATGAAAAAAGATTTGAGGAGTTTAGGGTGTTTAGTTCAAGGATCTGGAGCTCAAGTGATCTTCTGCTCTACACCTTCAGGGCCAGTAAGGGACACTGAGCAGGACTGGAAAGCACGAGCAATGAATAATTGGGTCGGAGGCTGGTGTCAAGCCAGGAACTTCGGGTTCTTTGATCATGGGGCAGTTTACTCAGCCCCTGCCTGTCTGTCTGTGGAACCCACCTATCTCAAAGGGGGCAATGAATACTAGCACAGGAGCTAGCGAGGCTTATTGAAAGAGCTTTAAATTAGCTACAAAGGGGGAAGGGGACAAAACAGGCCTCACAAGAGATGAGCCTAGGGGAACGATGCTTGAGCTGGGGGTGAAGTGCATCCACACCAATGCACGCAGCATGAGCAACAAGCAGGAAGAATTGGATGCAATGTGAGTCAGGCTAATTATGACCTTGTTGCTATTACTGAAACATGGTGGGACCACTCACATGACTGGAGTGCTGTGATAGGTGGCTACAAGCTCTTCAGAAGGGATAGACGAGGAAAGAAGGGTGGTGGTGTGGCCCTTTATATTAAACACTGTTTCAAGGTTGAAGAGCTTGGGGTTGAGAATGATATAGTTGAGTGTCTGGGGTAAGGATCAGGGGGATGGCTGTAGGGGTGATATCTTGGTGGGGATCTGTTACAGACCGCCTAATCAGGATGAAGAATTGCACAAAACATTCTATGAGCAGCTCGTGGAAGTCACACGGTCACCAGCACTTATTCTCATGGGAGACTTCAACTTCCCTGATATATGTTGGAAATATAACACAGCACAGAGGAAGCAGTCCAGGAGGTTTCTAGACTGTGTGGAAGATAGCTTCCTTACGCAATTGGCAGGAGAGCCTACCAGGGGTGGTGCTCTACTAGACCTGGTCTTTGCTAACAGAGAAGGACTGGTGGGAGAAGTGAAGGTTGGGGACTGTCTTGGGCAGAGCGACCATGGAATTGTAGAATTCTCCATTCCTGGGGATGTCAAAAGAGTGACCAGCAAAACTACTTTCTTGAACTTCCAAGAAGGCGCTTGTAGCGTGGGTCCCTTGGGAGTCGCTTCTCCAGGGTAAAGGGGCCCAGGAAGCCTGGATGCTCCTCAAGATGGAAATCGTAAAGGCACAAGAACAGGCTGTCCCTGAGTGCCATAAGGCAAGCCGTGGGGGAAGACGACTGGTGTGGATGAGCTGGGAACTATTGTTGAGACTCAGGGAGAAAATCAAAAGAAAAACTGAAAAACTGGAAAGAAAAAAACTGAAAGAAAAAAGAAAAATTGAGACATAGAATGAATAATTTGACAACAGAACTTTGAAACTGCTGTCCTGGAAATCAAAATGAAATGAAAGAAAAATGTTTCCTTAATTTCAAACTTACTTTTCTAAATACGTCAGACTGACTTTTTGGTGGAGTAAATTGTTTTTGATGGAATAAATTGTTTTTGATGATACACAATTTTTTGTATATTTTTGCTCAAGCAAAAAATAGATCATCTGTGCAGAATCAGATTCCTGTACTATACTCATTACTTCACATTGTTCTCTTTTGAAAGCACAACTGACTCCTACCTTTTCAGATTGCTTGTAAGCTGAAATCTAGTTGATGCAATATGCTTTGAAATATTCTTATTTCATGCTTTCTAGCTACCAACCATGTAGATTAAAATATACCACTATTAAAAGAAAGAGATCACACTCACTTGTACGTCCAACATAATTTCATTAAGTCATAGACTTCCACTGGACAGGCTTCAGGACGTTCCATTCGTTCTCCTCTTTCAATCATCTGTGCAACTTCGCCGCCTTTCATTCCCTGGAATAGGATGATCAGAGCAGTCTTCTGAGTTGCACATGATTACAGTACATGTTAGTATAGTATAAAACAAAGAGAAGTTTGGAGTTGAACTGGGGGCTGTCCTTTGACTTGTCTGTTAGAACAGATGGGTTCTAAAGCCTTATTTGACCTGTAGCAACCCTTCCACGCAGGAAAAAATAGGTGATGGTTTGAATTTGCTCTACATTTTTATATTAAAAGAACTGACAGAAAGAATTACTCACTTTATAGGGCTTTTGCCCATAAGAGAATGCTTCCCACATTAAAACTCCAAAGCTCCAGACATCACTTTTGCTAGAAAACTTGTAGAAATTCATGCATTCTGGAGCATACCACTTGACTGGCCATTTTCCGTGACTTTGTGCCTAAAATACGGAATAACAGAAAATAAGAGAAGCAGACTTGAGACAGTAGCAAGTGGTAAACAACACTCATATTCACAGAAGCCAATTTTACTTGGATTTTCATGTGTTCATACTAGCATTTCTGATATAGTCTGCCTTAGAGAAATTGGCAGCAGCTTCTTCAATACCATTACAAAATTGTTCCTAATCTCCCAAACTCAAATAAAGCATTGGAATTAATGCTGTGGTAAAGCAAAGCTTAGTTAAAGGACCTAACGTCGTGTTTGTTAAGCTCTGTTAAAGATTTTTCAACTCTTACAAAAGAGATACCAACTTAGCCAGAAGGAGTCTTGAGCCTTTATTTCAGATTAAGTCAGTGCTTTATTTCAGAGCACAGTAACTGCTTTATGACAAACTGCAATTTGATGACATCATGCTAAACATGCTACAAGAGTGCAAACATCAGACCATATTGGCACAGTGCTATATCTATTGAGATAACCCTGCAGCATTTTTTGCAGTTGTGAATGGAATGAGCCTTTGACACCAGATCTCAACCCCCTGACAAACTAGGCAAGCTGGAAGTGATTTAAGATGCTGCTGCCTTTTCTGGCAGCAGTTACTGTTCCCATAGGAAGGTCATCAGAGGGAAGTATGTGCTTGCTCCTCCTCTGCAGTGTTTCGTGGTCTGGCTTATTGGTTTTAAACAACTGATGAGAGAAAAGGCAGTAGGATAGAATAATTTTAACTGTAAAAGCAATATATAGGAAAAGGAGATGCATACACTATCAGAGGCTTTAGTTCCCATTTACCTCACTAAATATGGCACTTATTTTAGTATCTTTTGCTGCACAAAGATTGTGGTAATTTAAATAAAGCTGAACAAAATTTACCTACATCAAATGATTATTTCCCACCTGTACCCCTTCGACAAACTCCCCAAATCTCATTCTGTTATTTAGTTAGACAGATTGCCAACCTGTATTTTCCTTTGACATGATGCAAACCAAGTGCTGAATTAGTATTTGCAACAAAGATAGTTTCAACTTTTATGGAAGGAAATATCTCATTTCCACAGTAAATTTCAATCTTCTAATGGTAAATTTACCAAAGAAATAACTAAATAAGGGACTAGCTTTTCCCTCCCTATTCATCTCTTAACTTTGATCACACACTTTGAAAATTCATGATTACTACTAGCAGACTATAAAATATTTAGTGTATTTCTTCCTTTCAACTTTTAAACACAACTGCTCTTAAATAAAAAAAACTTAGGCTATATTAGTAAACAGCTTTGACAACTTGTGCAAATCTTACCTTGTAATAATTTTCATCAGCACTAAGAGCCTTAGATAGTCCAAAGTCACTGATTTTGGCATAATGCTGGGTGACTAATAGCACATTCCTTGCAGCCAGATCCCTATGTACAAAGTTATTCTCCTCCAGATATTTCATCCCCATGGAAACCTGATGTACAAGTTCTGTTATATTCTTTTCTGTGATGTGCCTGAAAATCATAATTGAGTCTTTAAGAGGTCTGTAGTTCATTTTCATTATTTTTCAAGGAGTTCAAATACAAACTTGTTTGCGCACATTACATACATGTATAAAATACATTAGTAACAAGATCCATTTATGTTTAGCAAAGATTTAATTAGAACAGGCAACATAAGAATGTCTTGATCATATCAATAAACTGTGATCATATCCATAAAGAACATCCAAAAATTCTTTTATTCAAAATGCACTATCTTACAAAAATATTTGACATTTAGGAGACATTTTCAATATAATTATGTCCCAGTGAAGATTATCTATAATAGCTAATTATTATATAAGATAAAAAGACCTTCCTCTTGTTTTTTTGTACCCCTTTGGATAAATACTATGAAATGGAATCAAAGCTTACACACCTATTTTTTTGCAAAAACTTGTTCAGTGGCCCAAGTTCAGCCATTTCCATTACTAACATCCAGGCCTCTGCTTCACATATACCTATCATTCGGACTATATATGGGTTGTCCAGTTGCTGCATTACATTTGCTTCTCTCAGTAACTCATCCTTTATGGCCGGATCATTACTCTCATTCTTAAGAATTTTTACAGCCACTGGCTTGGCCCCCCTGCAAAAGAGAATCCCCTGAGATTAGTTGCTGAAAAATCTGCATGTAAATTTATACAATCTCCAAGTTATGTTTCTGCACACATAGTTCAAACAGTGATAAAAGATAGAACTGAATACTTGGACAGGAAGGAATCTGATTGCAATGGGAATAACTCTCTACCAAATGATCAGAAGCAAAAGAAATAAAATGGAGAGAACGAAAACTAGAAGTAATCGTTAGAAAGTCTAAACAAGTCTGAAAACAAAGGCACTGAACAAAATTATCCTTCCCATTCTAACTAGTCTTAACTAATGAAAGTGGAAAGATTTCCAAAAAGGTATCTGTTATGTTGAGAGCCCTCAGAGGAAAAATTATAAGGGCTTTCTCAGCACTGATGTGTTTTGGACCTCAGACAATGCAGCACTTGCAAAGCCCCAAGGCAAGTGCTCTCACCTGCTGAGAAACTAAGTCTCCTCCTGCAACCTACAGCACCGATGAGATGACAGAGCTTAAATGTGAACAACTACTGATAAACAAAACTACAGCCCTTCAAATCCCCTCAGAAAATACCGGAGAATGAAAATTCCTCCTTGATTCTGAAAATCTGGGTTAAAGAACTGCCTCCAGCTTTAATTGGTGAAAGCATATACATAAGCTTCCATTTAAGCAACATACTGGTAACAGTTTATTATGAAGATGCATGAATAGTCAGGTGACTTGACTTCTGCCAGTATAAACAGGGTCTGTTCCTACTGTAACTTCATGATAAGAAAGGCCACAACATCTTCTGTCTGTTTGAAAATCAACGTTACAGCTTCATGAAACAGGTATTCATCATACTATTTTAGGTGAGAATCCATTCGCTACAGGTAAGCTGTACATGGCTCTCTACACTATCTCACACAGAGAGACTGTGCAGACCAGTCACATGAATGCCCACACAATTTCTGGAGAAAGGCACAGAGCTTCTTACTCTACTGTAACTGATAGCAGAGTCATTGAATCATAGGAGGCACTTCCCCACTTTGAAGACAAAAATAACAGCTGGGCAGTGACTATGCTGCACTTCCTGGAAATGGAAGGAAACACTTACTTCTTCATCTTATAGAACCCTTTCTTTACAGTACCAAAGTTGCCAGAGCCAAGCTCTCCTTCCTCTAGGGTTAACAATTTCCTATCAAGAGTGACATTTTTTGGTTTAATTTCATCTGGGTCAGCATACGGACTTTCATAAACCTCAGTGTCCATGGGTAAGGCCTCTCTCTGATCACCTGCAGTTCAAGGAATAAACAAATAAGAGATTATGTGAGACTATGTTGCTTGCACAGGTGCTATATTCAACATATCCATGCTCAGTGTTAACTGCTGCATCTTTGTATTTGTCTTAAGAAAGCATTATAAAAAAACCTCATACAGTCCAACTACACTCACTTTAGAACATTCTCAAAAAGAATGACTTTTATATGGTGACATCTTCTCACTTCTGAGCAATTGCTTAATGTGAAACGAGGATGTTCCTTCACAGAAGGAAGGTTAAAGACATGCTCTTCTCCTTAGCACTTCAGTGTTCAAACAGTTCACTTCAGTTCTCAAACAGTTCTTCACACCAATTGCAGTATTTGCAGCTTTCCTAAAGCCTAGGCATCAGACTGGCAGTGTGAATTCAGTGAGGCACAATTCTCTTTATGAAGGGCAAGGATGCAGCTTTTAGAGTCAAGGAGGTAATAAACCTCCAACTTCTACATGGAAAAAGGGATTCCTGTTAAATCAGTTTTATTACAGACACTGACATTGGGCTTGAGCTGTGACAGCGATATGCCAGTAAACAATATGGCATAAAATACAAGCAAGCAAAAATACAAGCAAGCAAAGAAGAAATATGGGTTGTATAATGAAAAAAGGTGATATTTGCGTAATAAACTTTTGCCTACCTTTCTCTGCTTCTATTAGACCTCTTGCCCTTTGTAGTACATAAGGATTAAAAGGTGTTTGGTCATCAGATGGGGGACCAATAGGTGTCTGGAGCTGTAGCACACAAATAGAATTTTTAAACTGAGCAAAATATAGTAAGTTAAAAACTTTTTTTTTTTTTTTTTTTTTTCCCCAGAAAATTATGGCATGATTGCAAGAGAAACACAGGTGAGAATCAAAGAGTAAAACAGAGGTAAAAAAAAAAAAAAAAAAAAAAAAAAAAAAAAAAAAAAAAAAAAAAAGCTTATTAAATTATTTAGGTTATTGCTTGAGTAAACATGCAGGCCAAATAACACACACATTGCTGCATCTCAAGAAGTTACAGGAAATATTTCAAAACATTAAATCTGCAAGAAGTAACTGGAATAGGTCATGCACAAATCTTATCCTGCAGATGTTAAATTTATATGCAGTTATAAATCCGCCATGTAACATTATAAATCTAATTTCTCTTTTCCCTTTTGTCTTTCTCCTTTCTCCTCCCTCCAAGTTATCTCCAAGTTATCTCTCACCATATCTGGGCCACAGAGGAACTGCCAGAATGAATGAAAAAGAAATCCCAACAACCCTATTTATCTCATGGATGTTACAAAGAAAATCCAATTGAAAGAAAAGAAGGTAAAAGAAAATTTAGTAAGTTTGAATAACTGAATATCATAGAGTAGTCTGTTTGTCTTTCTAGTCTGAGGAAGGAGAAAATGACCTGATGGCTAGTATATTTGAACAACTGATTCTCTATGAAGCACATAGATGACTGTAGCAGAAGTCTGCTCATTCTGGAGTCGCTGGCCGAAGGATGACTCTTACACAATAAAGTACAGAAGAGTGAAATTTGTTTGCTCTATTTTATTGTGAACTGGAAGAGAACAGTTCTAAGAATGGAAAATTACAGAAATTACTTTTTCAGTTCAGTACTTCAGTTCCTTTCACAATGTAAAAACTTTAGTGATGAATGATTTCATGCTCCCCAAAGGAGGGCATCGAAAACATAGGTTCAGACATCAATAAGAGTTGCTCAGTTCTCATAAGAAATAAAAATATATTGTACTTGCAAAAACCTGGATAGGGCTATTTTTCAAATATCCAAATGTTTATTTATTTATCTTTAATAACTGAAGCTTTCTGTGGCATCAATTCCTTCCTGAAGTAGTTGTGGTTTTCAAGTAATGAGAAACAGAGCTTGGGAAATATCTAGGAGATAATTATTGTCATTTTATCAATTGGAAGAAGCTTTTTGATCCAGGAGGTAGAGAAAATTAAATCATAAAACATGATCTGCCCAAGTGGATGAAGCAGAAGAGGTTTTGCTATTTGGAATTTACAGCAAACCAGAAGAAGGACACAAACTCCGCAAGATTCTGATTTGTTGGGATGGGTGTGGTGGTGGCATCAGAGATGGTAACATTTCTGACTGGCCTTATTCAGTCCTGTGGAACAGTGTTGAAAAGGCAATTTACTGCCTGGGAGGTCAGCAGAGTAGTGATACAATTCTGACATAGGTCAGGGATAAAACTGATTAGCCAGTTTCAACAACAAGGAGAAGAATGCTAAGAAACAAGATTCATTCTTTCTCCTACTCCTGTTTTTCTAGTGTAGCAAAACCTTGCCAAATCTGCAACTTAAAATCTGCACTTCCAAGGCTAAAAATAACTATTTGAAGCACAGGTCACATGCTTTGTTCAAAAGAAAAAGAAAAAAAATGAAAAAAAAATCACTTAAATTAGATAAATATATCTAAATATTGCAGAACAGCAAGGCAGAAACTCTTTCAGAAGTTCAAAAGGCACTGGACAATTCCTCAAACTTAAAAAACACAGAGGGCATATGCTCTCATAGAATATTAGAATGGTTTAGGTTGGAAGGGAGATTTAAGATCACCAAGTTCCAACCCCTGCCATAAGCAGGGACAACTCCCTCTAAACCAGGTTGCTCAAAGCCCCATCCAGCCTGGCCTTGAATGCTTCCAGGGACGGAGAAATTCATAACCCCACTGGGCTACCTGTTCCAGCATCTCACCACCCTCACAGTAAAGAATTTCCTTCTTACATCTAGACTAAATATACCTTCTTCAAGTTTAAAACCATTTCCCCTCATCCTGTCAGTACCTGCCCTTACAAAAAGTCCCTCCCCAGCTTTCCTGTAGACCCCCTTTGAGTACTGGAAGGCTACTATAAGGTCCTCTTGGAACTTTCTCGTCCCAGCTCTACCAGCCTGTCCTCGTAGGAGAAGTGCTCTACCCTTCTCATCATCTTTGTGGCCAACTTCTTAGCACCAGTCCACCTATCAAGCCTGTCCAGGTCCCTCTGGATAGCATCACCTCTGCAGAACAGCTGGTAAAAATATTCTCATTAAAAGGTGTTGACTTCTTAAATGGGAAGTATAGAGACATTTCCTCTTCTTTGTAATTCAAGAGCAAAACAAATGAATCTGAAATAATTTGATGATCACATCCAGGAACTGCACTAAAAAATGAGTGCATTAATTCCCATGCTTATAAATAAAACTGCAGGTATGAACTGGAGATAGCCCACTGACGTTAAATCTAACAAACTTTTGAAGGAATTTTGTCTCAGAAGGCTTCTACTGTTTGAAATAAGTGATAATATCTTATATATCATTAGAGGTAGTTAAGTTAACTAACAGTTACATAATTGTGGAATGATATTCCCTGTTTTGCAGCATAATTAAACGGCTTAACAAAGGCTTTTTCATTAATATTTTGGTTTAAACTGTAATTTTATGTTTCAAATGTATCTTTTCATAGCTCCTAGTAGTAATACAGGAATACTGGTTAGCACTGAGAAAACCTCAAATAGCATTCTCAACCTTAGTCCTGCCAATTATGTATTCAAGGCACGTAGCACCCTTCAGTCCTTTGAACAAGTTGTTCGAGCAGAAAGGCCAGAATTTCTCTCTTGCAGTCAAGAGTAGCAGTCTATAAATGGAGGAACGAGGTACTTATCTTTGTATGTGCAGTGGTCTGAGTAATAGTACAAAAACCCCTGCCTTATTTTGAACTGTTATTTCAATTCAGAGTCCCTTCTGCCCTATGCTTTAACAGCAGTAAGTTTAATTGTGCAGGTCTTTCTGAGAAAAGCAGCTTTGCCTTAGTACAACCAAATTATAGACTAGGGGACATTCTTACCAGAATAGAGAATGAGTGAAACACCTATGGATTTGCTTTTACAGTTAAAACAGAAAGAGGAAAGCGTCTGCCAGAGAAATCCCTTAAAAATGGCACAGGTTATGTGACATCTTATGGTCTGCACACTGGTAAACTGTGAAGCCAGATGTCATTTAGGATCAGAGGTAATGGCTTTAAGTTGTGCTAGGAGAGCTTCAGATTGGATATTAGAAATAATTTCTTCTTAGAAGGAGTGGTGAAACTCTGGAATAGGCTGCTCGGGGAGGTGGTGGAGACGCTGCCCCTGGAGGTGCTCAAAAACGTGTGGATGTGGCACTGAGGAATGTGGTTAGTGGACATGGCGAGGTTGGTTTGATGGCTGGAATACATGATCTTCTTACAGGTACTTTCCAACCTTAAAGATTCTATGACTCTATGATTTTATTGTCATTTTATGTCTTCATACTAGACCTCTATATCCCATGAATGCGTTTTTCAGCTAGAGTTTAATTTCAATTGGTTAAAATTCTCAGATGCACATTCTTGCCACTCTTTCCTTAAATAAGGACTGGCCATACAGATGTAGCAGTCCTGTGCTAACACAGCAATATCCACAATAAGAGGAAAGCAGAAGAGGCAGAGTTTGCACTCAAATGCAGATTCTTTTGTAGTAGAAGGAACATCACTTTCTATTTAAGGATAAGGCCACAGTAGGATAACCCCTCAGGAACTATGACAGCATCTTGTTGAATGAGATCTACTTATTGTTTGTTTTAAAATATGAATGAAATGGCACAAATTACTCTAAATCTCATTTTTACAGTAAATATTTTTATTTCATGGTAGAGATTGTATTTATGAAGTTAATCTGTACAGTAAGTGTTATTTCTTTTCATGTTCATAATTCTGATTTGCAATAACCCAAACGTATATGCAAAACCACAAAAATAATTTTATTTTGCCAAACCAAACTGTGTAGCAAAATGCAAAACAAAGGCCTTAGTAGCAAAGTCCTCAATGAACTTTGGATAAAGCTTAACAGTAGCCACTAGGTGGCATAAGGTAACTTATACTTTCATTAGAAAAGAAAGTTTTACGAGCAAAGAAACTGGAAAAAAAAAATGTTCAGAGTGCTAAAAATACACCTAAATAGCCAGTCTGTGAAACAAATAAATATTTTATAAAAAGTCACACAGAACCAGCATATTTTTCAAGTCTGAGAAAAATATAACATTGTAAATTTTACATTTTACTGTCTGAAAGGTTTTGATGCAAGAAAAGCAACCTAAGTAACCAGGTGTAATGATTTAAAGTCAGCTTTGTGTTTGTCCACTTTTCTGAACAAAGCCAAATCACAACTCTCTTATCTAATATATCATAGAATCATAGAACGACGTGGGTTGAAAAGGACCACAGTGATCATCAAGTTTCAACCCCTCCTGCTATGTGCAGGGTCACCAACCACCAGACCAGGCTGCCCAGAGCCACATCCAGCCTGGCCTTGAATGCCTCCAGGGATGGGGATCCACAACCTCCTTGGGCAACCTGTTCCAGTGTGTCACCACCCTCTGTGTGAAAAACTTCCTCCTAAGATCCAACCTAAACCTCCCCTGTCTCAGTTTAAAACCATTCCCCCTTGTCCCATCACTATCCACCCTCATCAATAGCTGTTCCCCCTCCTGTTTATAAGCTCCCTTCAAGTACTGGAAGGCTGCAATGAAGTCTCCCCAGCGCCTTCTTTTCTGTAGGCTAAACAATCCCAGTTCCCTCAACCTTTCCTCATCAGATAGAGCCCTCTGATCATCTTAGAGGCCTCTTCTGGACCCTCTCCAAGAGCTCCATGTCCTTCTTGTACTGGAGGCCCCAGGCCTGGATGCAGTACTCCAGATGGGGTCTCACAAGAGCCGAGTATAAGGGGACAATCACCTCCCTCTCCCTGCCAGAGATATATATTTTAATATATTTTAATCAGGATTATCAAATACAGTATAAGTAAAAAAGATTCTCACTCTGAAAAGCATCTCTAGGGCTTTTTGTGTTGATCATTTTTGTTACAGAGCAAATGGCATTGAATAAACAAACAAGAAAGTAGCAAAATAAGAGACTCACAGAACTACTTCTAGGTAGAAAAGGGGCATAAAAGTTATTCTTAGCATAAAAAAAAGCCTGTTTAAACCCCCTGCTATGTGCAGGGTCGCCACCCGCCAGACCAGGCTGCCCAGAGCCACATCCAGGCTGGCCTTGAATGCCTCCAGGGATAGCATGCTTCACAAGTGTACCAACTATTAAAAAGCATGATTTTCTGTCCACAGAACATTTTTACTAGCACCAGACTTTTTCCTTTGACTCCCTCACATTGCCTTTCCCATTCTCCCTGATCTTGCAACACCTTACACTTGTTTAAATGTAATTAATTTCAATGCATAACAAGATTTGTGCACAAGTTCTGTAGGAATATATTTTGTGTTTGTTATTAACAAACTGTGTCCCTGAATGTCTTCTGTCAAAGTTTAGTGAACAAGCCAATTTTCTAGGAATTATATTTTCCATTAGAAATGTCACTTTCTTTTTTTTTTTTTTTTTAAGTGACTACTCTGTGAAATGTATTTTATCCCTCATAGTTTTTTTGCAGACATGTTGAGAACAGTACTAATTCTGCATTTGGGGATGTGAAAAATTGCTTCAAAATAGCCCAATTTTCAAAACGTCTTTAGAAATTGTTTAGTTCTATAGAATTAAGGCTGGAATTGTGCAGATGATTTGTAAAGAAGGCAGCTTACAAAACCTGCACAATCTGTTTGTTAGTAGTCAAGACACACATTTAGTAATAGCAAGCAAAAAAAAAAAAAAAAAGAGTGAAATTAGCCAAGTGTAAGTCCTTTTAACTCAGTTGATAACCTAAAAAGACCGTATAAAGCACCTTTTTGCTGCCAGCCTTTGGAAAGGTGTACGATTTGATTCTTGAGATAATTCCACCTCTTGCCCAACTCTAGAAACCACAATGTCAAAGAGGAACAGTAAATGTGCCAGAAAAATTACTAAAGGTATATTACAAAACACATGTAGTATACAAGAAAAAAAACACTCCCAACATTTCTCTCATATGTGTCTGGTAAGTGCACATATGAAATATCAAACAAACGTAGTATATGAAATCTTACCAATAAAATTGATTTAAACTGTAATATTCTTAACCATCTTGAATCTGTACATATGCCTTATGAGAGAAAGCACTGAGACCTTAGCAGAAGTGAGCAAACTGGAAACACCTGTGATGTTTCACTTTCATCTACCACGTTGTTGGTGCATGTCTGTGTTCCTGTCTGATCTCTTACAGCTACCACATCCTCTGAAAAATTGCTGCTCCCATGCTGTATTCTGCAGATGATTATTAAAATATAGGATCTTGCACTTCTTCCTAATAAACTTCATTCTGTTCTTTTTTTTTTTTTTTTTTTTTTCCTTTTTTAACAAAACAACTTAATTTAAACTTAATGGAAGTAACCTAAGTAAAAAGAAGATACACATTTTGTGCATAAGGGTTTGTAATTTTTCTGTGTTCTTTTCAGGATACATTTCTGTTTTTGCAATCTGAATTCATTATATTTCAGGTTCTGCATATACGAATATCTACGCAAGTGGTCATAAGTGAGTTACAGTTTTTGCACAAATTTGTTCATGTATGACAACCTGGCAATATTAACTGAAGTCTTTGAGCTCCCTAAATAATAATATTAATCTGAATTTTTTGACTTTATATATTTATTTCTCTTATCCGTTGTGTTCTTTTTCTTCTATCATGGCAAACCTTAAGTATAATGACTACTGCTCAATTCTGAAAATATGCATGTGTGATCAAGCTCCTTTATGTCAACCATTTGCCAGAGAAATACACGTTCAGGGTTGGAAGTGATCTCATACAACTGTGACTACTTATAAGCAAGGCATGTAGTCTTGACAAACCACCAGGGCTCCTTCTGAGTGGAAAGAAGTAGGCACTTATGAATACACAGTAATGGATTTTATGCTCAAGTGACTGCTAGGCAGGTTCTCTCTTTTCCTTAAAAAAATCCTCAAAAAACAAGCCTTCAGGATTTGTTTAGATTGGCTGCTCTTTTGAGTTGATTTATGTTAGGCAAGATTAATCATAACTTATTAGCAAGTCTTTTACCTGTAAAGCACAAGAGTCATCATTACTGTAATACACTGATGAAAAATAGAAGAATTTGGCCCATTTACTTTCTTTTGTAGTATTCCTGAACTGAATGTGCTTGCTCTGCCACTGTAACTGTGTATATGCTAGATTATATGCATGTGGCCTGTCTGGTGTGCTTAAACATCCCATTCATACTCATAAATGACATAAATCCAAACGTTGGGACATTTGAAAAACAGCACCTATTTTGACTGTATAATTCCATTTCTTTAAATGGGTGCCTGACTTTCAGAAACAGATATGAATATGATTGCTCATGGGTCCATGGGGACTCAACAGTGAAATAAATTAAATTGGCTTATTTGAATGATTTTTTTTTTCTTGTAATGTGGGACTACATCAACTGCAGAAATCCATCTAGAAACTCAAAAACTGGATATAATTTATGAAGTGTCTGTCTCCAGTAAAATTCTGGCATAATGTCAAGTCCTGAGGGCCTTTATACAGGCACTAGATTTTACAGCTTCTTATTTGGTATTTGGAACTCAGTTTGTCCAATTATATCTGTTCAGTCAATCTGTAATATTCTTTTTGTGACCTTCTTTTCATATCCTTCATATCCTTCTATTGATACTTTCATCTGAAATTGTTTGTTTGCATTGTAAAGTATTTGTGAATTACTAGCTTACAGGTGCGGGTTCTGCTGCTGTGAGGACAGACTGGCTCTTCAGATTGCTGAGTCAGAAATGCCAGGGAAGGGGAACTGCGTAAAACACTTCATGCTCAGATGCATACTCAAAACCAGACATCACACTACATGGCATTTAAAGCCATTTCCCTATCTGAGAAGACCTGAAACAATCATTTTTGTTGTGACAAGAGGATAAGTGGCTATGGAGGAGATTTTAGAGTAGACAACTCCACATACACAAGCTGGGTGCCATAAGAGAAGCAGGCACAGTGATTTTATGCCCAGCTCTCACCCCCACAGAGTGGAATGTTGAAAAAAGAGAATAAAACATCAGTGTAATTGAGGACAATATGGTAGCTGGATTCTGCATATGGCACAGGCATGAAGCTAGAGGCCACCATGAAGTAACTAAGCCCTACACTGTCAAGACAGCAGCATCTCTGCCTCTTGTGTTGTTCTCCTTCTATTTTTCCCTCCTAGATTTCAGTTTAAAAATGCCTTTGCCCTTTCCAGGAGCAGCCTCAGATATGTAGGGATAATATGTAACAACTCGGGGGGTTCAGTCTGGAAAAGACAGCTGCCTTTTTATGAATCTTCAATGTTGTGCAAAGACAGCAGTTAATGTGCTCTCAAATCTCCTTTTCAAGTCTCTGCTTCATGTCCAGTCATTCAAACTGGTGTCAAAATATAATTCTGGACCAGGTATTTGCGCACTCAGTCCCCAACCATTAGGTGAGACCCGATGTGTAAACTATGCGGTGTGGATAGGCAGGCAAATTCTTAAGTTGATTCGATGATGTCGAGGCTCATTTCCAACCTAGGCAATCCTATGATTCTATGAAAAAGCTAGATGATTAGGCCCTCCAGGGAGTGGTGAAACAACTAAGCTGAACTCCCTACTTCAGATTAGATTAACTACAGCTCAGTGAGAAGGCGTGACATATCACTCCTCAGATGGCTCTTGTAATCAAAGGAGCCTAAGAGTGCAGAGAATTATAATCACAAATGGGCATGCTCACTCATGAAAATGTTAATGAAAAAACTTGCTTTAATTTCACTTCACAAGGAATCAAACCAACATGCAAAACTGGATGTTAACTACAAAGTAAGGAAATATCTGGCTTTACTCAGTAAAGTGAACCTTCATTTTTGCTTCAGCTGCCAATATCTTGAAATGTGTTTTAAATAGTATCTGTCATCCCAGTGTTGATACCGTCACTAAAGTACTTGACCCTTAATGTTTATTTTACACATGAAACATACTGATTTTCACGTACATTGTGTATATAAAACAGATTCACAAAATTAAATGCTTAATAGCTAAGTACAAAAATTTTATGAAAGCAATAGGCATAATAAAATATTTTAGGCTTATTTTCTATCTACTACTTATAAAACAATCCCTAGAAAAATAAATTCACTCTAACAGTATAAACATTAGGATTCCCAGACGATTATGTGACAATAAGCTTGTTAAATTTATTGCTCCATCACCACCTACCTTAGAAGGGGTTCCAGGAAGAGGACGAGTGTCAAAAGAAGAGTTATCTATAAAAGAATCAAATGTGAAAGATACTGAAAAAGATAAGAAATGTACCAAAATAATAATTTACATGAAAGACCAACTTTTTACTTTCAAATCATACTGCAGCATTTCTCTTAGCTCATCTTCTTAGCTTCTGGCTTTAATATGCATCACTCACACTTTGGTACTTACTGCCACAAAGACATAAGTACATGCACTGCCTTAATAATGACTCAAAGGAGTGTAAAAAGTAAGAGCAAGTATGTTCAGCACAGCTCTAGCTTTCAGTTAGAAAAATAGAAGGCAGCTCTTATAGAGAGAACACTGCTTCTGAAATAGAAGAGTCAGACAAGGATCAGAATCAGAATCACAGAATGGCCCAGGTTGGAAGGGACCTCAAGGATCATAAAGCTCCAACCTCCCTGCCACACACAGGGCCACCAACCTCCACATTTAATAAACCAGGCTGCCAGGGCCCCATCCAACTTGGCCATGAACACCTCCAGGGACGGGGCATCCACAACCTCTCTGGGCAGCCTGTTCCAGCACCTCACCACTCTCTCTGTAAAGAACTTCCCCCTGACGTCCAACTCAAATCTTCCCTCCCTCAACTTAAAACCATTTCCCCTCATCCTGCAGTTATCAACCCTTTCAAAGAGTTGATTCCCCTCCTCTTTGTAGGCTCCCTTTAGGAACTGAAAGGCTGCAATGAGGTCACCCCGCAGTCTTCTTTTCTCCAGACTGAACAAGCCCAGCTCCCTCAGCCTGTCTTTGTAGGGGAGGTGCTCCAGTCCCCTGATCATCTTCGTGGCTCCCCTGTGGACCCTCTCCAACAGCTCTCTGTCTTTCTTGTACTGGAGGCTCCAGACCTGGACACAGGTACTCCACATGGGCCCTCAGAAGAACAGAATACAGAAGGACAATCACCCCCTGTCCCTGCTGGTGACCCCTCTTCTGATGGAGCCCAGGATACCATTTGCTTTTCGGGCTGCAAGAGCACACTGCTGGCTCATGTTAAGCTTTTTGTCTATCAAGACCCCCAGGTCCTTCTCCACAGGGCTGCTCTCAAGGACCACTCCTTCCAGTCTGCATGGGGATTCCCCTGTCCCAAGTGCAAAACCTTGCACTCTGCTGTGCTGAACTTCATCAAGTTCACCCATGCCCACCTTTCAAGCCTGTTGAGGTCCCTCTGGATGGCATCCCTTCCTTCCACAAAGGCAGCAAAAAGGAAGTGAATGCGATCTCATTTGTGTAAACATACACGGCGCATGACATTAAAGAACAGGTCCAAGACTGCATGGGACCTCAGGATTCCTCTAATCCCCCTAGACATAAGTGCGTCTAGGCCCTGTAAGTGGGTGGCATTTTAAAGATTCTCTTTTTCAGTATCAGGTGCAGTGAAACCTTTGTCTCACTGCACCCTATCCAAATGCCTTAACCAGCAGTGCTGGCATGCTGACATCTCCCTGGCGTAAAGTGTGTTGGAGGAGTGTCAGGATGAGCAACTTGGTAGCACAGATAGACAAAGCAAAACAGAGTGCCACTTGAAGTAGTAAAGTGCATTTTTGATCTGATGTTACTTTTAGACCATCTGGCTGTCATATCCTCCCATAAAATACAGGATCTTCCAGCCTGCATGATCTGGTGGATTTCAACTAACTTGAAAAATTAGTATTTCATTTTTTTAAAATCTAAATTTAAATTACATCTATGACAATCAACACCCACTCAGTTTGCAAATGCAAAAAATGCACCCATTTTTAAAAATCTATTTATGCTTTACAAAGCAATAGAAATAACTTACCACTTTCTGAGCCATGCCGTGGACAGGGAATGGACAGAACCCTTAATAATCCGTCCGGTTTGTATGAATAATGCTCAACTAACTACCAGAATGAGAGAAAAAAAAAAAAAAGTAAGAGAGAAAGAAGAGGGAGATACCAAAAAGTAAGAGAGGTGTAATTGACTGTCTCCTAATCATGTGCTTATGTGCAATAATCCATATTTGTTACACCAAATGATCACAGAATCACAGAATTGTAGGAGCTGGAAGGGACCTTGAGATCCAACACCCCTGCCAAAGCAGGCTCCCTACAGCAGGTTGCACAGGTAGGCATCCAGGTGGGTCTTGAACATCTCCAAACTCCACAACCCCCCTGGGCAGTCTGTTCCAGTGCTCCATCACCCTCACTGTGAAGTTCTTTTTTTGTGTGTGCTGAATGTCCTATGCTTCAGTTGTGGCCATTTCCCCTTGTCCTATCTCCACACTCCTCTGAAAAGAGTCAGGCCTCATCTCTTTGCCTCCTGCACCTTAGATATTTACAGACATTGATCAGATCCCCTTTCAGTCTTTTTTTCCTCAAGCTTGAACAGATCCACATCACTCAGCCTTTCCTCACAACAGAGGTGCTCCAGGCCCTTTATCATCTTCACATCCAGAACCTTACTGTGGGTATCTTTAGACCATCTTTACTTTTCTCTAGCAGACGGGTGTATTTCTGAAGGGATTTTGTGGCTGAATCTGGAACCCAATCCAAGAACTGGATTTATGAGATGCTAAATTCTCCACCTGGCTATATTAACATCAATTTCTAAGCTCCAAATAAATAATTTATTTTTAAACATCTGAGTTTCATCTTTTTTTTTTTTTTTTTTTTTTTTTTTTTTGTGGTGGTGGGTTTTTTTTTGTTTATTTTTTGTTTGAAAGATGCTCTCTTTGGCCTCAGGCTTATAATGGTACGTAAACAGTTAACATATATATATAGCCTCAGTAACTGTGGACTTTTATCCATGTAGCTGTGGATTATCCTATCCATGCTTTTCATCATTACATCACAGGAACATGACTCCTATTTTGGCACTAGTGCATTTGGGTAGGAAGGAGGGGGTCTGCACATGAAAAAATAGAGATGTTCAAAAAACTTGAACATTAGGCAAGCTGCTCAAAATTTCCAATAACTCAACAGATATGCAGGATATTTACAAGAAATACTAGAAGTTAATATGCACAGGTAAAAACTTGTTTTTTAAATTTATGACTCACTTTTTTTTAACTAAAGTTTTAAGAAAGGATACAGAACTCTTCAAGGCTTTTACTTCCTTTAGCTTCTTCAACCTATCCAATTATTTCTCCAGTTTTATTATCAACTATGGCATAGTTAACTATCCAGTTCTCAACTGTTTTATTTTTAATAGAATTCAGACATCTTGTTGTGGTAATGATTACAAACTACGTTTGTTCAGTCTAAAAAGTAGGCAATTTCAAAGTTAAATAGTGCATTATGTGTACAGCATGCCAAATCATCCCATGTGTTTCTTAAAATTGTGCTTACATTATTACAAAGGACATAAGCAAAACAATGTACCTGGCATAACTGTTATTGTATACAGTATGTCTCTTACAAATTAAATTAGTCTTCCATTCTAGAGAATGTCTATTTAACTGAATAAGGATTACAGCAGTTTAAAACTCAGTGAAGCTGCAGCATCACCATTTAAAAATGATTGAAATCTTTACATTTACTTAGCTTTCTCCACTAATGAACATACCACAAAAGTTGTAAGGAGGACAAATAAACTGCTTTAACATGCTGCTGTTTAGCTAAAGACAGTTGAAGCACAGCAAAGTAAATGAGACTGCCTAACTGGGTAAAACTGCAACGTGATGACAGACACTCAAGTGATTCAAATTTAACAGACCTGCCAGAGGGTGTCAAATCTTTTTCCATCTGGTATGGAGAGCTTTCCTGTCTTATCTCTGTCAATACGATAATGCAGTACTTTTCCATCATTCAGCAGACACAGGGCATAGGAACCATTGCTGTCCCTTTCTCGGATTCTGTAGGATTAAGAGAGAATTTTAGGGTTACTCTTTACTATCAATGAGGAGTTGAAGATGCTTTTTAAATTCACCTTTTCCTTTAAGCTTTTGAATTATAAAACAGCAAAGCCTGCACAGCAATTTCAGAAGACATTTTGTTAAACCACTCATTTATTTCTTAGTGTCATTTGTTTTCAGATAGACTTCTGTAATGCTTCTCTTTTTTCTCTTAAAAGTCATCATATGACAACAGAAAATCCATGATGTGGAGCTCTGTGCTACGCAGCTACAGAACACTGTGCAGTGTACACTGTGCTCTCTGAGCTAGGAAGCACTTAAAAAGCTCTTGCATTCAGGCCTACAAAGCCCATGGAAATCCATTTTGTGTAAGAAGCTATACTTCAATCCCATCCCAAAAAAATATTAAAAACAATAGATACGTGTATTTATTAAAATAAGATTCTCTTTTGAAATTAACAGATGGCTGCAAGGGTAGAAAGCAAAATACTAGAAGAAGGTAATGAGGAATATATATATAATGGGATTTTTTTTTTTTTCTGTAATAAGCTTCTGTAACTGAAAAAAATTGTACATTTCTGTAATCATTAATTATAATTTCCAGAAAGACAATAATGCTTTGTTTCTGATTTCACAAAGAATTCATGTGAAAGTTCACACAGTATTTTTTTACAGATCATGTCTAAATTCCACTAGGGAGAAATAACTGCATATAATACAAAATAATTCCCTAAAATTCATAGGTATCCAGGATGATATTCTGCTTTCAGAAGATCTGAGATGCCTTTACTGTGCTGAACAATTGTATACTCAGGGCTAGTTCACACTGAAACAAGATGTCTTCTTGTGACTGCATCCAGAGTAAGAAAGAATTTGCTACTAGCTCCATCACAGTTGGCCTAGCATTATTTTAGTTCAGACAGCAGCTTTTTCTTTAAACTGCATGCGGTCAGTTGCTGCTGACAGCAGTACTGAGACAGCAGGAGAGTTAGCTGAAGCTTTTCTGGAATATTTTTTTTCTCCTATGAAAAGCCCTGATTCAGCAACACCTACATTCCCATTTTCAGTGTGCACAGAAAGGTGCTCTCTCTCTCCATTGAGTTTGCCTCCTTTCATCCTCATGCTCCCCACTGATGCCCACAGCAGGGGGTTTGAAAATAATCGATCTTTAAGGTCTCCCCCAACTTATGGCATTCTGTGATTCTATACTGATCAGCTCTGACAAGGTATGGAGTGACCTGCTTGACCACTTGATTTGCTAAGGCAGTGTGGGACACTGGAGCAGCTCAGTAATTTCCCATATCAATGGAGCCCAGATTTGAATGGCGCTCAAGATTTTCAAAGTGCTGCTCAGACAGAATTGAGAAGAATATTTACAAAATCCTGTTTTTGCAAGAGGAAAGACCACTGAAGTCAACTACATCTATCTCAGATTTTACGCTGAAACTGACTTTATTTGTCACTATATACATCAGCAGTTATTATCCAGAAAAAGCAAGCATTAAATTCTGTTCCTCAGTCTCTCAACTCTGAGCTAAAACTCTGTTTTACTACCAATGCAACTATTTTTCATGAAGAGTGATTTTTGTTGCTGAAGATGTGAACAAGACACCAGCTAATGGTAGAGGGAAGTAGAGATTCTTTTTTTCTGAAACCAAAGTAACTTGCATGCTGTTTCCAAAGCAACTTGAAACACATCGTGGTTTTTCATGACATGCAGGTGTTTTCTCAGCATGCTGATTTCCTGTGCTTACTGACCAGTGGAGAACAACAGGTTCTGCTAAAATTAAGAATGACTTTTGCTTTGTCTTCTTGTGAGCTGCTCCTAGCAAAGAAGACACATACCTTTCAAAACATGTCTGAAGAACAAAACAGATTTAAACTACAAAATACTTCCCAAGTCTGAATTTGACAATCACTTCACTTAGTTATTCAAAAAGTGCTCCCACAGAACTTATCATTACAATTCAAACTGAAAACTTTTCTTCCTCGGTTTATTATCATAGGACAGATTTCACAGTTTTATCACGGTCTTGTAGACTGTGATAACAGCTGCATAGGTTAGGCTAGCCATCTAGGACTGAAGCTCAATATAGAGCATCCAGTATATTACATTTATCATAAAAAAACTGAATCAAATAAAATAGCTGCTCAAGATGAAAGTCTGAAACCTATTCAAATGAAAATCAGTATTTCCACATTATCTTGATGCTGACTGAGCTACTTACAGTCATCACATCAGTTTTGGGGGCTCTCTCAAATGCAAATCTGATTCCATATAAAGTGAGCACATTCAGAGTTTAAGTACATTCAGAAAAAAAAATCCAAAATTAAAATCGTACTACGTGTTTTGATGTGCTCTGAAGTTAAGCATGATATTTTTCACTCTCGAATACAAAATGAAATAAAAAAATCTTCTTTAAAAAAAGATCATTTTTAAAAATAGTATTTTTACAAAGAAGGAAGCCAGCAGTGAAATATCAAGCATTCTTCCCCTTCATGCCATCATAGCTAATTATAAATCTGAATAAAAACATAAAGAGCGTAAAGAAATAACATAAAGGGAATAAACAACACGGCCCTTTCACACACTGACTTAAGCCTGAAAACATAACAACTTCAATGTGTGGAAATCCAAATTCACAGATATAATAAAGAGAAGCATTAAAGCATTTGGTGCTTGCTTTGATGCATATTCAAAACAGGAATTTTAGAAGTAATGGAGAAACTCAAATTGCTACACAATGCAATGCAAAATAACTTTGATTTTAATTTTCCTGAAATCAATGCTTGGGTATTTCTTATGCTTTTATGTCTGCAATCCAAATAGCAATTACTATTTAGAATATCATTATAAGTTCTGTAAATATCTATACATCCTTTCTTTTGGTGGAGTCTATGTCTTTCTTGGGAAGCAATCACAACAATTTTTGCCTCAATTTTTTTGCTTTCACGTGAAAAGCCAAATGATCTTTCTTTATAAATGAAAGAATCTCTGAAGGTAAAAAGAAAATTAAAAAATACTATTGAACATGTCTCACTGACCATACAGAAAAAAAAAAGACAGCATTCTAGAAGAGAATAATAAGGGAAGGCAATTAGCTAAATGCTTGCTTTAGGAATGGTATGAAATTAACGTCACTGATACATCCAAGGGCATAAGCAAGTTTCTTCTTGGTACTGTTTCGTCTTCTCAGCAATAACAGCTTCCCTGATGCCAAAGATACTGACATTTCCCACTAAACATGCAGACACAGCCATTTCCTGCTTGCCTGTCCTTATGATCATCTTTCTTGTAATGTTATTCATATCACTGTTCTTCATTTTCACTTCAAAAATCTGCACCACACTGAACACACTGCAAATCTGAGGACAATATGTAATCTGTAAGAGCATCACACAAAGGTGAAAATGGACTGACTGCAGTCTTCTATTAAATCACATTTCCTCCCCTCTCTAAGAACATATTAAAAACCACTTCAGAAATCATAGAATCATGGAACGGTTTGGATTGGAAGGGACCTCAAGGATCATCTAGTTCCAAACCCCCTGCTATAGGCAGGGACAACATGCAGCCTTCTGATGTCAGCATACTTCAAAATTCAAGCCACAAGCTGTTGTTATTGAAAATGGAATGCAAAATTTCATTTCCTTGTAAGAGTATTGAGATTTTCTGCAAAATGATGGAACAATTTGGCAAGCAGGACCGTATCATCATTGTCTATTTTGCTCACATTTTATCTTATGTAACCATGCCCAGTTCTAATTATGGATACAAACACAGTAAGGGCAGATGCGCTTAAAAAATGCTTTACAAGATCAGGTAAGTGGCCCACCTTGCTCATTCACCCCTTAGTGGCAAATGCCCAGAGGAAGATATTAAGAGTAATATAAATACAAAAAGCTACAGGTATCACTAACACTTGCAAAATGTTGCAAAGTGTTGCAAAGTCTGAGCAAGACTTCTGCTCAGAAAAGAGAAGTGATTGCTTACAGATAACTGCACTTCAGAACTTCAAATCACTGGTGACAGTGCTGACTGTTCTGACTTGTTAGAGGCAGCTTGGTCCCTAGAGGTCATGAGGTGCCATTCTGAGTAGTGCTGTGATCCACTTACATGATCTACACTACTACTGTATGCTTTAGAATGTTTAAATACATATTAAAGATGGTTCTATGACAGTAAAATAATGTTAAACTTTTCACATATTATATGAATTACATATGGCTGTGGACTGATATGAAAGGTTTATAGAGGGTAATCTGCTAATTCTGTAATGTCTTAGCCACATTTTCCTTAAGGATGAGCTTTTATGTTTAACAGTATTTCTGAATATTTCTGAATAGTTGTAATTGCAGGGAAAGCTAGTATTTCTTATACTGTTAGTCTGTACTTACTAGCCAAATTTTTCTAATAGTTTTTTTTCTAATAGTTCATTTTTCTAATAGTTCATGTACATATGCACTCACATTGATAATACTAACATTATTAATAATAGCACTAAAACCAGTAATATTATCTGTGATCACCCAGACAATGCTGATCACCATATTCTGTAATTATACTTTCTACCAGATAAGGTCGAATGAAAAACTAACACATCAAAATTCTGATAAGAGCTGGAGTCCTCTACAGCATGAAAAGTAATGCTATGAAGCCAACAGAGGTTTGAAACTTAATTTAAATCCTCTGTTTTGAGTTGCTATTCAGCTCATTTAAGGGACATTATATTTTCTTTCCATTCTTCGAAATTCTGCAGCTGGAATGGCAATCTTTTTCATAAGTATTCCTTTTGGAAAAATTGGGCACATCTTCCAATTTTATGTCATGTCATGATTTCTGTATTTGGATTTGAAAACAAACTCTATAGCACTCGAAGAAGCACTTATTCCTGTGAATAGGTGTGACAAAAACTTTAAAAACACCTCTGAAAATTCTTTAGCAATATATTCACAGATAGCTCAGAACTCTTCCAGCAACTTGAATGAGTGGCAGTTATAGATTTATGATGCTATTTAGGGCATTTTGAAAGGCAATTAGAAATCTTTTCAAGTATTTCCATAATTATTGTGTATAAACATCTGGATTTAATAATCCTGTAGTGATGCAAGAAACTGCTATGAGTCTAAGGATCAGATGGGGTCTCATGGAGATCCCTGCAATGGTTTTCGCTGCAACAAAAAGACAGGAGATTTCTGATGTGATTACTTTTTAAAAGGCTTTGAAAAAGAAAACACAGAAGTATTACAGCCTCCTAAAATTTAGTGTCTTTTCCAAAATAAAGAAGTTAATATTTGTAATATGCCAGCATTATTTCAGGCCTACCTGTGGCCTTGATCAATTCCACAACTTTTCAAAATCTGGTTTCCGTTTATTCTCTGTGACTGCCCTCCAGTTCCTTGCTTAACAAGTGACTGTTTAGATAGTAAATATTTCTAAATTTTACCCTTCAGTCACCTATTAGGCTTGAGTGTCTCAATCAGTGTGAAAAAGAAGTCCTCGAGCAGCTACATTCACAAGCAAAATTCTCAGTGTTCGGTCCACAGATGTAAAGAAGATTCCAACATGCACTGTTATTGGTAAGGAAAAATTATGATTGTTGTGCCTGAAATCTAAAACAATGCACCTCTCTAGCATTCACTATAATTTTGCACCTCCTGGTTCAGTTAGCTTACAAACTAGTGGTTTATTTCTCTGTATCGGCTTAGCAAGCCCATGTTAGGCAAAACTGCAGAAAATGTCTCTGAATTAGACAGTTGCTTTTTTATTTCCTATCAGTCTCTAGTCTTCTGATCTGATCTCAGAGCTAGAAGAATGGAAAACAGATTTCTAGTACAAATAACCAACAGCCTACTTCTCTTCCTGAATTATGAAGTAGTGAATGATGTCACCTTGATTTTTCCCTAGAAGCATAGGAGTCAACCGCAGCTAAATGGTTACTGAGCTCTAAACCTGCCACATAGGCAACTCATACAAGAACAATTAATGTTCTTGTAATGTTCTTGCTAATAGCATTTGTCCTGCAGATGCAAAAGTATAGACTGCTGTACTAAGGAGGACATAAGCTGAACATAAGTTCTAGAGATGTTTCTCATGGTCTAAAAAGAACTTGAAAGCTGAAATTTTCGCTGAGGAAGTAGTCTTCCCAACATGAAAGAAGCCTTCTGAGTTGTAACAGAGATACCTAAGTCACATACCCATTGACATAATCAGTCCCAAGGAAGATGTGACCATGCCTGCCACAGCTCATTGTAAACAGCATTAGAAATGCCTCCCAGGCTGTCTCTAAGGAAAGGAGGAAAGTGCTGGAAAATAATTTCTATTTAGAGCTGAAGCTGAAGGAATACTTAAGATTAAAAAAAAAAAAAAAATAGACACCAGGTCTACAGTGGAGACCGAAAATTTCAGATCTGCTAAAAAAAAAAATGCCATAATTCCAAACCACATATCTGCTCTTAAGAAATGTTAGCTAAGGAATCCTTTTTTTTTTTTTTTTTTTTTTTTTTTTTTAAGAAACCTAGTTTCCTTTATTCGTCCAAAGAGAAGCACTCTGACCACATACAAAACAATATGTCCTGAGGTAAACTGGAAAAGATGCAAGTTTTAATATACGATCAATACCATGATTCAGAGGATGCAATAATAATTTGCTAAAATTTTGCTTCTATAGACAGAAAATAGTAACAGAGATGAGAAAAATAACAAGGGAATGAAAAGAAGGAATGACATTGCTGTGCTGGTGGTAATGTACTATGTGCTGACTACTTTCATCAATCCTTTCAGTGCTACTGAAAGAAGTGTTCAGAGGAGGTGAATCTATGACAACAGGAAATTTTGGCTGCACAAACTTTTAACAATTTTTTTCTTATCATGTGTAGAGAAAACAGCTGAGTAGGTGACTTTTAGGGCATCATCCTAAGAAACAGGACAAGAAGCGAAAATATGAAGGTGCACTAAAACTTGGGTGAAAGTGATCATGAAGTACAAAAAGCTCAGAGATTAAGATGGGAGATATTTCAAGAAATCAGATGTCAATACACTCAAAGTATTAGTAGGTAACACACGACAGGAATTAACTCACACTGAAAGGAAAATTTACAGGACTTAAAATTTAAATTACCCATATAAAAAAATATGAAAGCTCCATCTCCATAATTTGCCAATGAGCTTGGCAAAATAATGGCAAATCAGTAACGCGAAAACAGTTGATACTCAAGAAGCACATCCACCCCATACTCACTTCTGAGGTTTTACCTTGGACAAGCTATAGAAAAGTCAAACATAAATGAATACTGAAGAAGATTACAGGGGTAGGTGATGAAACGTCCACCAAGTGGTTCTTCCTCAGACATGGCCTCTGAGCTCCAATTTCCCTTTTTCTTTCTTGGAGGCTGGGGAGTGGGTCAGGGAAAAGAAGGGAGGATGGCAAAAGATGTCACGGTGAAAACATCAGAACTTCTGAAATGAGGATTTCCTGAAGGACTGTTTAGCTGGAAAATTTTGACTGGCTTTGATCCTGACAAGATTACAACAAGTCACCAACTCCAGTAAAGGGTCTGCATTAACAAAGAAAGTGACAGACACAAAACAGTCACTACCAGAGGAACACTGACAGCTATGGGCACCAGAACTGGTTAACACAGGCTGTCTATTGGTATTTTTATGTCATCCGTAAATCACTGTGTTGGCTGTTGGTGGCAAGGCTTTGGTTGAGGAGCATAGTGGGAGGAGGTCAGATCTGCCCTGAGCAGGTCAAGGCTCATTACAGCCAGCAATGTGAGACACCCCTACGGTGCTGCTCAGCCCCTCAGCTGTGCACACAGAGTGTAGCCCTATAAGAGGAGAAGATCAAGAAGGAACTGCAGTCTGCCAAGAGCCTGCACTACAACAGGAAGTTTGAGAAGGAGCATCAGAAGGAAACTATTACGGAACTGACTGTAAATTCAGACTCTTACCCCTTGTGCTGTCTAATGGGGAGAGGAGTTGGGCACGAAGCAGTGAAGATGAGCTTGTGAAAATGGGAGGGGTGTGTTCTGACAGTGGTACATGTTTTTGCCTTTGTAATTCAGTATCAAAATTTTAATTGGTAATAAATCAGTTTTCTCAAGAACTGGTAAACAATTTCCCAGTTCTCTCTCATGTTGACCAACAAGCTTTTCATTCCTGTTTTCTGACTCCCCATCCAGCTGACATGGCAGATTGTGAGAATAACTTGGTAGGCTAAAGTTAACTCACCACAGCCACTTTGTACTCGTGGCTTAACTTGACAGGCAGCTTAACATCAAACAAAGCTTTTTGCTCATGCCCCTCCTCTTATGGGACAAAGAGAATTGGAAAAAAAAAATAGAGGTAGAAATTGCAGCTTGAGATAGAAACTATTTACTGATAGTAAATAACACAGAAAAGGAAGACAGAAATAACAATAACATATATATATATATATATATATATATATATATATATATATATATGGAATCATATATTATAATCACAGAATCACTTTGGATGGATAAGACCTTAAAGGTCATCAATACTAACTATCCACTTAAAAGTCCATTGCTAACTCATGCTCCTACACGCCACATTCTCATGTCTCTTAAATTTCTCCAGGGTTGGCAAAGCCATCAGCTCCCTGTGCAGCCTGTTCCAATGCTTAATCACCCTTTTCATGAAGAATTCTTTCTGACATGCAATCTAAACCTCTATTGGTGCAGCTTGTAAAAACTGAGCACTGTATTCAAGGTAAAGTCTCACCAGTGCTGAGGGAGACAGAGGGAAAATCCATTCCCTGGTCAATTCCTGCTTTTGATACAAGCCAGGATACCAGTGCCCTTGGACATACAGGCGCACTGCTAGCTCATGTACAGCCAATTGTTGACCAGAACCCCAAGAACCTTTTCTGCCAGGAAACTTGTCAGCCATTCTTCCTATAATGCTGCATGGGGTTATCATGATGTAAATAAAGCACTCAGCACGTAGCCTTGTTGAATGCCATAATAATCAGATAATTGACCCACTGATCTAGCCAATTCAGATCCACCTGCAAACAAATGAACACTCCCTATTATCATCTCCCATCTTTAGATAAGTGAAAGCCCAATTTTGGAGACATTTGCTTAATGTAGGAATAGTTACATCATATAGTATCTATCATGATGGACTAGGTGCTCTCACTACGACTAAGCCACCTCTTTGGGCATATTCTCACTTGATATTCATTGAAGTGAACTATGCAATGACACTAGTGGCAAACAGCAGCAATGCAGGAAAACACTCACAAAAATTTTCCATTGTTTCTTGATCCAGTGAGGATACGCTGCTCTGACTCCTCCCGAGTGATCCTCCCATGGAACCAAGGCATCTTCTCATGGGCTGTAGTGGCAATCAGTTTCTCCAGCTGAGGTTTTTGGCTAATGATAGCTTGTTCAAGAGCATGACCCTGGAGTGATAAAATAATGAGACATTCTAACTGTCTTCTGCAGTAGAAAATATACAGATAAAACCTCTGTATTGTATTGCTTTTGGGACACCTAAAACATGCACATATTTGTTTTATGTGATGAAAAATAGTAGTTGTTACAATGACATTAAAAGATTTTTCCTTTATTCTGAGAAAGAAATGAGTAACTTAATACACCAGTATCTCAACTGAAAAGATAGTCCGACATAGCTAGACAAATTTAACGACCCTGAGATGTTGAACTGTATCTCTGAGAGTGTTGTCCAAATACTGCTCAAGATTTGGCAGCTTGGTGCCATGACCTCTGTTCTCAGGGGCCTGCTCCAGTGCCCTATCACCTCTGGTGAAGAGCCTTTTTTCAGAACCCAACCAGACCCTCCCCTGATGCAGCTCCCTTGGTGGGTCCTGCTGCTGTTATCAGAGAGCAGAGATTAGTGCTTGCCCCTATACTCCCTTAGTGAGGAAGCTTTAGGTTGCCCTGAAGTCCACTTTATGGCAAATTCACCTGGATTTACCTGCAGATTCCATGTTTGTTTGACATACTCTCTGATGAGGTTCTCTTTTAAATCTTCAAAAGGCCCTGTTTTGGGCTCAACGCCTGGTGGTCGATTGAAAGATCTTCTCAGTAGACAGATAAGGCCATCTGCTTCCTCTGAATGATAGTTAATGAGTTCAGCAGGACTTGCATGTGATTTGCCTCCTGCAATAGCATACGTCCCACTCAACTCCCTCTCAATTGTGTAATGATGAACCTTCCTTCCATAGGCCAAGGATAAGGCAAAGCCCCCTAGGTAATTCCGGCTTTGGCGAAGCAGGTATAGTCCATCACTCATTCCTCCTTGCATCAGATACTCCTCAGCTTCCTCACGTGTAATATTGCCAAAGAAGTATGGCAGATGGTTAGCAGGGCTACCCATGTTGGAAGCCATGATTATTTTTTTTTTCTTTCCAAGTAGTCAGTTAATGTTTAATGCCTGAAAAGAAAAAAGGAAACATGAGTATCACTAAAAATAATTAATGTGATAGTGTCACCTTGAACAGCTTTCATTTCTAATTGCTTATATTGTAATAATACAAAGGAACACTGACAATGAAAATGCAGAAAAGAATGAAGTCCATTATCTCTGAAGAGTAGTGAAGACAATAGCTTAAATTCTTTTATTCTTAATTTAACAGTTAAAAAAATCTCTTACAATTATGTAATTCTGAAAAACATGCACAGTGTCTCTACAGATCTCTGCCTACAGGAGTACTGTTCTTGTCTCCTGTGTTCCCTTGAGTTACCTCAATATTTGACTCTGTCATCAGGGAAACTTATTTTTATTAAACCCTAAGACACATTAACACTGCCTGGACAGCTAGGGGGTACTGTCCTATAGAAAAAGACTACTGTTTCTCTGTCTTTACAAGATCACTGAATATCTAATATTCTTTTTCCAGTGTATGTACACTAATAAAAATGTGTGTATACAAAGTACAACAACTGAGAACATTCATGTAGAAAATAGATATCAGTTTTGTTCATATTAATGTTACTCTGTCTTTCCATCTTCATTATTTTGAATAAGGGCTGAATAAAGGCTGACAAAAGAATGAGAAGCTCAGCTGCTGTTTCAGTTGCTGTGCAGGATCTAGCTGCAGAAGCAGTACACCCTTCACAATTAAAATAAATGGCAGGATTTTAGGGAAATGAAGCAGAAGTCCATGGAATCAGCATTAAAAAAAAATGCAAGTATATGTCAAGATCACTCAGCTTGCAGCTGGCTGAAGTGCACAACCAAGTCATGTGAAAGTGGGGGAGAGAACTTTATGGAAAACCTTGTAAGAAGGGAGGGTCCCTGGTGCAACACTGCAACTGAGGAGTTGGCATCCCAAAAAAGAACCCTTGTCACAGAATGCTTCAGGCTGCCATCTTCCCTGGCAGCCTTGCTGCAAGCATGGCTGTGGCCTGCTCAGTTCATAGATGGATCATTAGCAAACTGTGGCCAATCTAGAATTTCTTGCACATGGGGCAAGACACAGGTGAGAAATACCTTTACTACTCTGAGTACACAAGATAATTGCAGTGAGGGGAGCACACAAATCAACTGAACAAGAATCCCACAGTATAGAAAACAATGCAGAGAAGTATAGACAGTGCAATCAAGACTGAGCCATATGTTTTGCAGATCTTCTGATTTTCTCTCCTTCCTGAAGAAGGGAGACATACCAGCTACAGAACTACTACAATCCTACAAAACAGATTTGTATACAGCTTATTTATTAACTCTTGCGGTTTGCATCCAAAAATTACTAACTTAAGATCACTTTCTACATTCAATTTAACATTTTCAGCATTTTTGTTGATAAAATTTCCCTCTGCTTTGCCTTTTAAATCTCTACATTTTAGGCAGTCATGTTCTCAGTCTAAATTATCTATCAATACATCTCTTTGTTTATTTATTGCAAAAGAAACCTGTAAGGTAAGAGAGGGGAGAGGACAGCAGTCACCACAAACAGCCATTCTACAATACCATCTAAAGCAGCAATTACATTTGCACCAACAGAAGATTAAGAGGACTCCCATTCAATTAAATGCATTATTTCAGTAACTCATTGCAGGGCCAGAGGTTTGTAATCACTGACACGTGTCCCAGTTGGATGTTCTTACTGGTACCTCCAGGACCCATACAGGAGCCAGTACTATCCAACATCTGCATTAATGAGAGGGACAATGAGGCTACAAGTTCACACATAATACTAAACCACAAGCTGTAGCAGATAAAACAGAGGATGCCATTCGTGGTGACACTGAAAAGGGTGGAGAGCTGAGCTGAGAGGAGTTTGGTTTATCTGAACAGCTGAAAGGAATTTGACTTATCTGAACAGGGAAAAATTCAAGGACTTACACCTGGGGAGGAATAGTGCCAAACACAAATATACACTGAGAACTGTCAGCCTGGAAAGCAGAAGAAAATAACCTTAAACTTGTGGTGGACAACAAAACAAGCATGACCCAGCAATGTGACTCTAGAACTCCTGAAGAAAAATACCACCAGCCGCTTGAGGAGGGAGCTGTTTTCTCTTCTCAGCACTGTTAAGCACCCTGCTGAAGTACTGTGTGAAGTTCTGGGCTCCTCAGTAGAAGGTAGCGATGGACATAATGTCAAAAGTCCATTGGAATACCTCTAAAATGAGGAAAAGGATGGAGCATCTTCCCATAGGTAGGATGCAGAGAGAGCTTGGGTTGTTCAGCTGAGAGAAGGCTTAGGGCAGATCTCATCAAGGTGTAAAGATATCTGAAGAGAGAATGTAAAGACAATGGAGCTAAGCTACTTCTTCTATCCACTGAGATGAGGCAAAAACACAGAATGTTTCTTCCTACCATTAGGAAACATCCATGCTGTAAGAGTGGCTAGGAACTGAAATAGATTGCCAAGGCAGGCCTTGTACATGGCAGCTCTTCCTCTAGAGAATGGGTGCCCAGCAGATCGGCTTGCCTGAGATGAATAAAGAAGTACTGTCTTGGGCACTCCAAAAGTAGTGTCCCCTATGTATTTCCATGGAAACGACACGTACAAAGAGCACAACAACACTATTTGATAGAGCAAATTCTCAGCTAAAAACACTGTTTCCCCAAACAGTCACCACCATTAGCAAAACATTTTCAGCAGCAGTGAACAAAAGCCTACATGCGGTGATTGCAAAAATATGCACCAGAGGAGGTGAACCAGTGCCACTGCTGCCACTGTTGAAACGAACCACCCACCACATCACTACACTCACATTCACTGTTTGGTTTCTATAAACATTCAGCAAGCATCAATGGATGTAAAGGAGTGCTATTATTTCTACATGGAGGAATTCAGCAGCACACTTATCCCAGATGCACACTTGAGTGTCAATACCACTTACACCGACATCACCTTTCCTGCCATACGTTGCATGGGAATGGAGGAGGTTAATGCCCCATACATGTCATTATGCAGTTTTGACAGTGTCTTCATTAATGTGCTCAACAACACAATAAAATAGCAGGCATTACTTTTGGAACAACTCTTGTATGCTAATGAATATAAGCAACAGAACTTACTCCTTACGTATTTTTTTTGGTTAAAAAAAAGAGAGCAACAGAACCATAAAGCTAGTTCGACCTCATTTTTGTGAAACTAATGCATCAGCCTGGTTTGATGGCAGTGGCTGCCATTCTTTGTGAGCTCTCGAGGTGTGTGTCAGAGACCTGTGAAGAAATTTTACCCTCCCTGCACTTCACCCTTGAAAACAGCTGTTCACATACGTATATACCACCCAGAAGCAGTGACGTGACTGAGCAACTGTGAAGCAAGGGATATTTCCTTCAGGTAACACAGGGCTTATAAAGATCTCGTAGAGAGACACAATCAGATTTTTGAGCTGAATGTCTGATTGCAACTCTACACATTCCGTTTGAAAATGTGTAGATAATGTATGACTGAAATATGATGCTGTCTGGAAATGGAGCTGCAAATAAAAAAAAAAAAAAAATTGATGATTATTTTGGCAAAACCTGTTTTCAAATTCCTTTATCAAAATACAAAGCACAGCTGCATATTTTTTGCTGTCCACAGGACTGTGGTTACCCAGTGTATCAAAATGCATACAATAATGCTAATGCTTTGCTACTCAATTTATTCCACTCTGTCATCTCAAGCAATCTCCCTCTGACTTTCCCGGGAGTGAGTCCTACTACCCTGGCAGGGGGGTGAACCAGGGCCCTCCAGAGGCTGAGGACGTTCCCAGTGCAGAGCACTCAACAGGCCTGAGGATGACATGGTTGCCGAGAAGATAACAGTGTCCAAAGAGGCAAGCTTTCCACTTTTTGAGTGCTTGCCTTCCTGGCTGGGCAACATCTATCAGCTGGCCCTGAGACCACTGAGATTTCACAAGAAATTGAATGTGATGCCCATGATCTCAGGGCTTGTCTGCAGTCACAGGTGCTGTCCCAGGCATTTTGTCCAGGGCTTCTATGGCCATACACACAAGTTGTGCAGGTTTAAGCAGGCCCATGGGCTTGTGCTCTGTGGAGTGCAGCATTTCTGGGCGCTGAGCTGAAGCAACCACTTCCACTGCTCCTATCTCTGATGTCTGGCTGCCCAGGTGCTGCGGGCACTACACAACGGGGTACAGGGAGACCTCTCCCTTCCCAGTGCTGACAAGAAAAGCCTGGGCAGGAATGCAGCTAAAAAAAGCCTGTCTGGGGAGCCAAAAGCTATTTCTGAATACTTCAGGATAAACCAAGCCGAGTTAACTTTAATACATGAAGATACTCATTTAAAGCATCTGTAGAAAAGCAAAACGTAAAACCTTTTTATATACCGTGGCGGCTACTACTGCTTCTAGATAGGGCTTTAAAATGAACTTAGAAAGTCAGTGAGAACACATAAAACAAAAATACCAGTCTACTTGCAAGAACTGTAAAAATAACTGGAATGCAGGACCAATGGCCTGACTGTTTTCAGGTTCAATCTTAGTGACATTAAGGATGTCAGCATAGCAAATTTCCAGATGGAATACAGTATTTTTATGGAAGACTGCTACAGAGAGAGACTGCTACAGCAGAACAGTTATGAAAAAGAAAGCAAAGTAAAACCAAGACATGTCAAGATGTCACTAAACTTTCTTTAAAAATGACTCCAAGATCTTTTTTCAAGATCTGCTACTATCGGTTGTTTTTCATAAACTCACCAAAAGAAGCAGATCTACCAGAACATTTTATCAATAACAGTATTTAAGCAAAACAAGAAGGTTAAAAAAATAAAGAAAGAAAGAAAAAAAAAATAAAGAACTGCAGTCCTGGTCACAGAGCTGTTGATATTGTGGATTTGTTTTACCAATGTAACAGAACAAGATTGGTTTCTTCCAGAAAGATGAGGTTTTCAGCGTGTTTTATCTGCATAATCCCTAACTTAGTTTAGATTTCTTGGGATTTTTTTTTAGCAGCAACTGATAAACAAGA